CCCGCAGCGAGCCCGCGGGAAATAGAAATGAGCCTTTGCGTCGCGCTCACACGGGCGAGAGAAACCGGGCCTCGCCTCCTCCTGCGCGGGGAAAGAAAAAAAATTGGGGAACCGAGCCCGGCCGATGAATAATTTAGGCGGCGCGCGAAGGGTGAGAAAGAAGTCGCGAATGAGGGGCATAGGGGCGGGGAGAGGGGGGAGGGCGGGACGGTGGAGGTAGAATTCGGGGTAATTTGGCCGGTCGGTCGATCGGTAAATCGCTCACGTCGCGACCGTCGACGGTTAAAGACGAATAAAGAGGGGAAAAATTAAGTGTACGGAACCGCATCGCAACCTCGAATACGAATCGGGATCGTTGACGATAATAATGGCGATGGACGAGCGAAGACCGAAGAGAACATCGGCTGAAGAGAATTTGTTTTCCGAGCCTCAGCGACTTCGTCGCGATGTCTTCGTCCTTCGTGTGCGGAATAAAATGGTGCGAGCGTGGTTGCTCGTACTTTCCTCAAGCTTTCCTTTGGTCTTCCTATTCTCGATAAACTATTCTCCATATTTGCTGGAGCGAGTAAGACCAAACCTCAGGATTAGACACGCATCTTCGCACGCAGGTCGCAACCGAGTGAAATCGGGACTTCAAGAACAGGGAAGGATCGCCTCGCGGAAGAAACCGCGTTGGATTTTCAAAAACGAGGGGAACACAAAAACTTGCCGAAAGTTCGCCAAGCAACCCTGAAATCGGGTTCGTTCAACTCGGCTGAACTCGAGTTGACTTCCGACCGCTCTTCTTCTACAGCGTACATAATTAGTCCGGAAGGAACGAAATGAGAGAGAGCGAGAGAGATTGACGGAGTCGCCAATTAACGGTAAGACGCGCGGCTGTTCGCAAAGTTGCGAGCGATAGCGACAGTGGAACGAGGGGGCGGGAAAAAGGAGGGGAAAAGAGAAGTATATGGCCGCTGCATTGTCATTCACGCAGGCGACGTCGGCGTGCCTCGTCGGCGAAGCTATCGGACGTCTAGCCGGGCCAGAGCGAAAGAATTCTCCGTGCTTTTCCCATGCTTGACTAGCCGCTCGGATCGACGGCTGTTGCGGGAATACCAATCAGTTGCGGTGATAGAGATCGTGATCGACATGTCGCTATCGCCTCCATCACCTGCTGGAAGGTCGCACGTGATCCGCACCGGCGCAACTTTGCAGCCACGGCCGCGGCCGTGGGTGGCACGCCGCACAGTGGGGCCAGATGACATTTTTTGCTTCAAAATTCTCTAGAGACCTGAATTTCCAACCGATCATCGACACCAATGGAGATGAGGTTGATCCTCAGTAAATTCCAAAGAGATCTGTCTAGCCGAAATTTTGAAAAAATTATCAGTTCAGGGTTCATGGGTTTAGGGTTTGTCTTAAAAGTTTGTCGTTTAAAATGCAGTGTCTTGGGTTCGATCTCAATGGGTCCGAGTCTATGGATACTAAATGCGAAACCCCAGAATTTATAATCACCTTTTAGAAAACTTAGAATTTCAAAGCTCATCATTTCAGCCCACATTAAGAAAGAATTAAGGATTAAAATCCCTCGGTTTTATGCTTGACGGGTCTATATTTGATGTTTTTGTATTTTGGGTATATGAGTTTTGGGTTAATAGGTTTCTGGTTCAAAATCGATAAATCTCGAGGAGGTCTGTTGATTGGTTTCATAGTTTCAATCTGCTGAATAACGCTATTAGATAGAAATAAGTGTCGAATAATGAGTATTTCACAAGTTTCTCGCGTTTAACGATAATTTTTCCCCTCTTTTGGGACTTGTAATTCGAGAAAAAAATTTTTTTTTAATTTTGGCAAGACAGATTTCTTCGGAATTTATTCAGAATCAACCTCATCCATTGGTGTCGATGATCGGTTGGAAATTCAGGTCTCTAGAGAATTTTGAACCAAAAAGTATCATCTGGCCCCACTGTGCGCCGAGTGAAACAATCATTTACCGCGTGATTATTTATCGCGTGTCGGGATCCTCCCGCCGTAATCCGCCTTAATCGGCCTTGTTCCTCGCGGACTCCGCGGCTCGCCGCGTTATGTTTTGTCACCCGCCGGACGATTTAGACGTCATTGATTATACCGAAGAAAATCGAACACGCCCCGTCGAGGAATAAATGTGTAATATAAGAATCTGTCGATGAACATTAAAAGATAAATTATAATCAAAAGAAATATAACATGATAATCCGAATATAAAATAATAAATTCCAAAACGCGAGTCATAAGTCTGTTAATATTAGCGGGCAGATAAGATTCAGAAAAAAATAGGCTGATACGTGCAAAGAAGTGCGACGGTAGTCGAGGTAGCCATTTTCGTTAGTCATTCTTTAGACACGCACATACATACACACATTTATAAAATGCATATATACAGGGTGTCCGGGATCTTTTGGAAGCGAAAGATTGTGAAGATTAATCAGGTTAAATTGAGAAGAAAAGTCATGTATTATTTTGCAGAAATCACAATAGTTGCCACATCTAAAGACTCTTTAATTGATAACTTTAAAATTTGTGTTGCAATTAACTTGCAAAACGCTAAAGGACTTTTTTGTTCAGAATGACCTAATTTACATGATACGGCTATCATGTCTAGCGATGGATATGAGTAAGTTGAACTTTGAACCCTGAATCTTGAACCTGTCGCTCATTTCCAATCACCAATAACTTAATGACTATTGCGACTTTTGCAAAATGGTACTTGACTTTCCTTCTCAGTTTCATCTGATTAATCTTCGCAATCTTTTCTCTGCTTCGAATAAGAAGTATTTGTTTTTACCCGTACCTTCGCGTAAAGCAACACAAAATGAAGCTTCCTATTTGAAAAATTATTAAAAAAATTAATCTATTTAAAAGAAATTTATTTATATTTATTTAAAAAATTTATTTATAAATTAAATTAAAAAATATATCAAAAAGATTGTTTAAATTTATTTAAAGAATAAAATTATTAAAAAAAATAAAGTTGACTTTTGTCTGATCTATACGGTAGCGCCATCTACAATAAAACTGATAATGTCCCCTTTGATGTCAAGCAAATCTCCGAAACATTTCTCCACAACACGCATATTTTATGAGATATCTGTCATCAACATTACAAATGCTTCACCCTGTATGAAACGCTCGGACGGCGCTCGACTGTTTTGCTTCTGAGAGACGTATCTCATTGGACGTGCAGTGTGCAGAAAATTGCAGTTCGTCAAGGCAGCCGGCGGAGCAACAATTTGGCTGCGGGCTGATCTAAATCGTTCATCGTCGTGCATCGCGCCAGCGAGCGCCCGCCGCGCGCAGACCGCCCGGGATCGCTTTTATTTTACGTAATAACCGTCGTTCCGCCGTTTTGTCTCACGTCATTTAGTGCTGGAACTCGCACGGGAACGGTCTCGCGCATATTTTAACGCGCTCGTTGTTCCGTCCGCGAATAGCGCGCGACGTACTTTACGCCGGCGGTAAATGCCGCCGCTAATCAGCGCTACGTGAAGATCGTGACTCAAACGCGCTCAAGTCGTTACGTGAGTAACGAGAGACCAGGAATAGCGCGAATCGTAACGCGAGAGATCGCACTTTCCTCCGTCGTGCGGGACGCTGCGCGAAAAATCTCTCTCTCTCTCGAAATCAGGCCTGCCGATCATATTCGGAGCTCCGAGGCGTCGAACAAGTTGACGAACTTGCGGAACTTCTTCTAGGAAGCCAATTATCTCCAATAATGTTTGTTAAAACTTCAAAGCCGAAGCCTCGAGGCTTCTGATAAAAACGACAACAAGGGAGTATCCTCAGTCGGGCACGAGAATATTCCTCTGCCACTTTGCGGGTAACCCTGTGGACTTTTAGTTATCAATCAGATTGATTGATATCTAAATCTTTTATCGTTATCGTTGACGCATTTTGTTCGCCCGCCGATGTTCCTTAATTCACCACCAAAGGTCTACATGGTTACCTGCAAAATCCTACAGGACTTTTCGCTCCAGTCCGTCAGGAATCCGCCGGCTGCGTCGGATGAGGGCAAGAGTCTTGGCGGACTCCTCGCTGGACAAGTGGACCAAGCAGCTTTACCGAGAACGAGTGAGAATCAAGTAGCTCTACCAAGTAGCTGCGCCATTGTCCTGGCAGTCCTTACGCGTCTTCATGTTCGCAAGCGCTGCCGCAAGCGGGACTCGCGGCGTCCCCGAGGGACCCTCAGAACTTTTGCACTCGTCCTGCACCTCGGCAAGTCCGTGGCCAAGTCGGAGACCAAGGCGGATCACACGTGTCCGAGCGCGCAAAAGGAGAGAGAGAGAGAGAGAGAGAGAGAGAGAGAGAGAGAGAGAGAGAGAGAGAGAGAGAGAGAGAGAGAAAGAGAGAGAAAGAGAGAGAGAGAGAGAGAGAGAGAGAGAGAGAGAGAGAGAGAGAGAGAGAGAGAGAGAGAGAGAGGGAAAAAAGGAGCTCGATGGCGAGGGCGACAAACGGCGACAAGTGATTCCCTGTTCGACACCGGCGCGCCGTTACATTCGGCGACGCGAATCGCCGCGTCGTCGCGTCGCGAGTCCCGATGCTCTATCGGGAACGGGCGACAGGCAAAAACTAGACGCATACATACGACAAGACGCTTGTCGGCGCTTGTTTCAGTCGCTCGAGCGAGCAGCCCGTAGCCGCCTCGTTACGTCTCAATCAGCCGGCGAACTGTAAACGCCACCGCCGCGCCGTGAGGTGATCGCCGCGTATCCGCGAACGAATTCGCGAGGCAATTAAAGACCGCGGTCTTTCGGCCAGTCCCCCCCCTACCCTCTTTCTTGGCCAGCCTTCTCAAACCCGTCGCTCTCCGCGTTTTCGCTCGCTAGCTAGTTAGCTCACCGGCCAAGGTCCGCGTGCAGTCGCGATTCCGCAGGATTTATGCGCAATTAGCCGCAATTACATACCGCGATACGCCTTTCGGAGCGTTCTTCGCGATTACTCGATGCCGCGCACGCGCAAGCGTGCGCGACTCGTCTACTCACCAGGTCACTCGGAGCCGCCACGGGGAAGGTTGCGAACGCGCCTCCGTGCGATGCGAAGGAGGACCAGGCTCTTCGCTCTCTCCCTCGTCGAGGATGGCTCTCTCTCTCTCTCTCTCTCTCTCTCTCTCTCTCTCTCTCTCTCTCTCTCTCTCTCTCTTTCTCTCTGTCTCTGTCTCTGTCTCTGCTCTATCTCCTCTTCAGGGCACATCCAAGAACGCTCGAAGGCGACCCCCGCGTACACGCCGCTGACAGAAAGTCCTTTCCCCCAGGAGCCAAGAACCGGCGGAGGGCAGGAAAGAAGCGAGAGACGGCGAGGAGGAGACGGAGGAGACGGAGGAGACGGAGGAGGAGGAGAAGGAGGAGGAGGAGGAGGAGGAAGAGAAAAAAATCGGGCAAACGCGCGGGTCGCGTCGCGTCGCAGAGCTCGCGAGTTCACCGACTCCGCGGATTGCGATCTGCTATCAGAATGAAGGCTTTTCTTAAGGCCGTCTTATACTTATGTCGCTGCCCCCACTGTGAGGCGCGACGCGTACCCCGGGCGTACTCGTCTTCTTCGTGGTGTGTTCGCCGAAGAAGCATACCCCCCTCTAGAACAAGGCGATACGCACGTCCTCGGCACGCAGACTCGGCACACTTTCGTTCGTCCGCTCGCTCGCTCGCTCACTCGTTCGCTCGTTCGCACATTCGCGCGCCTCCAAGTACGTTCGCGCCTCCTTCGGGCCTCCTCCGTTTCACTCTTGCTGACGCATCTTCACTCTTCACGACACTTTTGCTCTTGATCGCCGAAGCGCCCGCGCCCGCGCCCCCGCCCCCGCCCGCTCCGGGCGACCACCTTCTCTGGACTTTTTACCCGCGACATTCCCCGGGCGGCTCTCGCGCTTTCTTCAATTCCGCCAGCGAGATGAAATGAGAGCCAAGCTCACGCGAACGCGAGCGCGAGCGCGCTTCATACCGCTTCCTGCGCGATTCGCCATAGCCAGGGGATAGCCGCGTAGCATTCGTTCCGCTCGCTGCAGCCGCTCGCCGACGAGATGCGCTGTCCACTCGACTTCGCTAATTAATAATGGGGGCGCGGGGACTCCCATTATTAATTAGCGACCCCGCGCGATTTTTTCGCCTCTCGTTGTCTGCCCTCTCGTCCAGCCCTCTCGGCGCCTGAGAAAATTCGATGGATCCCGCGGTCTATTTTCCTGCCGACTTTCCACCTGGACGAACCTAGCGTCGGAAAGTTTTCCGCACACGGCACGGAAAGGAAATTTTACTCGCGTCGGCGCCGCCGACAACGCGCGCTGCGATAGGAGCATTTAAAAAATGGGCAGTTGCTGCTAATAACGTGTTTGATACGTGTTATCGCTCGTTATTTTCGTCAATCTGCTCCCTAGGGCCGCCTCTGTGATGGTGCTATTCATTCTTTGGAAGCGCGACGAAGTCTGCAAGTTAAGACACACTTAAGTGTATTGTATTTTTATTATTATTATATTTCAATATAATAATAATTTTAATTATAATTATATCTCAATATAATAATAATTTTAATTATAATTATATTTCAATATAATAATAATTTTAATTATAATTATATTTTACAATTATAATGTTAATTACATTTTAATAATTATTAATATCTCAATAATTATATTTTGCGATTATATTTTATAATTATTATAATTATATTTTTGTTATTATAATTATTGTATTAACTGTAAATATAGACAACGTGACATTAAAAGACGCCACACGCCGGAAGAAAAATATCTAAAAATATTTATCTGCGGTGAGTGACGCATTCGCTCGCATCGGTATTTTCGCGCTGAGAAAGGAAAAACTTTCCTCGCGCGTCGGAGCAACTTGTGTGCATTCTCCATCAAGATGGGAGAATTTAAAATTATGTTAATCAATTGTACGTATTGAATGCATGCGTTAATTAGTTGAGGTGTAAACAGCATTATCGCCGCGCCACGCGTCTTATTTTTAAATACTTCTTCCTTCACCAAGGAGGCGTCAGAAATAATGTCGCCTATCCGGGATCGATGCACGTTAATTCCGGCCGATCGCGCTCCCGCGGGACGACACGATCACGGCCGCGCGCGGGACGCGGGCCGAGGGGGAGGATTCCGCTGAAGAGGTAATAATTCAAGGTCCGACTTCGCGGGGCGTACTTCTTGCGCGATCGGAGCTTCTTGCAAAATTCTGCACGCCTGTGCTCTTCTTTTTTCTCCTTTGTCTCCCTCATCTCCCTGCTTCCTCTCTTCTCCCCCTCTCTCACTCTATCCGTCTCTCCTTTTTTCCCCGCCCGCCTAGCTCGAGAGCTCGATCTCGATACAATTTACGTTCGATTATACGCCACACTTACGCGATGTAATTTTTGTTTGATCGCCCGCGCCGTCACGCTCGACACGCATCCTTTCTTCGCCTGTCGTTTGTTAGCGATCGAACTAATTTCCTTGCCGTGATTGATCATCCCATGATATCGGGCCCTCGCCCGCCCCGCTGATCCTCGCGCACCGACTTTCTCCTTGTACTCTCGCTACGACACTCTCGGCGACCGCTACCGTGCCGCGCGTGAGGAGAGCCAATTAGTAGCCCACTAACTCCAACTCGCCGAAAATCCTGCTGTTACCGCTTTACCACGACCATGTACCATGATCCTGAAGACGAGGACGGTGAGCGGAGCTTCTCAGCTGTGCCGACGCGTCTCGCGCTGAAAGAGACAAAAAATATCAGGTCACTAAATATGAAATGCCCGATTCCGAATCCAAAGTTTGCTTCATTATATCGCAAACTAGAAGAAGTACAATTAATCAAACGCGCCTAAACTATCGACACAGTTTTGCCATCTCAATGGCAGCTCATTTATGCCAGCAGCGACGAAGCCTGAAGAGAGCGGATGGCGATGAAACCGCGAAAGGCGTTTCCCACAACTTCTTGAGAATTGAATATTTTTCCTTGCAAAAAGTGCTCCAGTGCCTGGAAGAAATGGTAGTCGGTTGGTCCGGCAAGGTCCGGTGAATACAATGGGTGACAGAAAGAGTTTCCAAGTCCAGCCCCTGTAGTCTGAGCAGCGTTGTTTGTGCGACGTGTGATCGAGCGTTGTCTCGCAAGAGGACTGGCCTGTCTCTATTGACTAATCTCGGCTGCTTAGTCGCAAGCATCCTCATCATTTCGTCCAGTTGGTTACAGCAGACATCCGCTGTAATCGATCGACCAGGTCTCATGAAGCTATAGTGGACAATACCAGCGCTGGACCACCAAACAGACACCATTAGCTTTTTTTGCTGAATCTTCGATTTCTCTTCTGACGCCCGTTTCATTCATGCGGAACTCATCTATCCAGCCTCTTTACCCCGCCGATTTGTTTCAAACGGTCCAATATTGTTGAGATAGTAACGTTGAACCTTGCTGCTAATTCATGCGTAGTTTCAAATGTATCCGCTTCCACTACAGCTTTCAGCTCTTCATCATCCACCTTGGTCTCAGGTCGCCCACGTGGCTCATTTTCGAGATCAAAATCGCCAGAACGAAACTTCTCGAAGCATCGACGTACCGTGCGTTCATCAGCCATATCTTCACCTTCAAACATTCTGTTGATACTTCGAGTTGTCTGCGCTGCATTGGTTCCACGACGGAACTCTTGTCTCGAAAATACCATGGAATTTTCGACTTATCCATAGTTACACAAAAATTGCTGCAATAAAAACCATTCGGAAGATAATCACAAAGTAAAACATGCAGTCGAAGCGATGGCGTATCTTCACAACGAAAAGAGAAAACAAAAACTGTAAAAGTAAAATGTCAGAGATATCGAATTTAGTACTCGAGGAAATGAGACATTTCATATTCAAGGGGACTGGAGGGTCAGATTACTGAAAAATCTTGCTTGTTTTTGATAATATTTTGTGACGAACTGAATAAATGTGCGAGAATAAAAATTTTAGATATACTTATATAAACATATGAAGAGTAGACAATTTTTGTTTATTAACAAATACTCATATAAATATACGTCCACTTAAATTTTAAACGCGTTTTCCTCGAAATTTTATTGTTCAACTTTATGTAATGATTTCTCCGAAATTGAGCTTCGTATCGATTTGAAATTTCAAAGCAATAATATTTGTTCATGTGGCTCTCAGGTGAACCATGGACAACTCCATCAAAATATTTCATTTCGAGATATTAATTTTTTTATTGTAAAAGAACTGAATTTTTTCCTAATAATAGCTGCCATTAATTTTGTTCGATTTTTTTTTAGTGGTTCACTGGATAATGATAAGACTCCTCAAGCTAAACATTTCTAGCTACAATTCGCTCTGATCGGACCAGCGAGAGCCGAGATATTATTACTGCAAAAACGACAACTTGAAAAAAAAGGAGAGTATATTTCAGCTATATATATCTATATATATTTATAGTTATATATATTTATATGAATATTTGTTAATAAACAAAATTTTTCTACTCTTCATATGTTGTATAAATATACCTAAAATTTTTATTCTTGCACATTTATTCAGTTCGTTACAAAATATCAAAAACAAACATGATTTTTCAACAATCTGACTCTCAAGTCCCCTTAATGACCTAATAGATGTTAGCTAAGAAGCAGACGTTAAGAAATTAATGTCGGTAAAATTGTGGCTGTACTTGTTGGCTTCGACTGTGTATATGCTCTTGTTGTTCCGACGAAAAAGTAGTAATTGCAATACTCTCTCTCTCTCTCTCTCTCTCTCTCTCTCTCTCCCTCTCCCTCTCCTCTCTCTCTCCCTCTCCTCTCCCTCTCCTCTCTCTCTCCTCTCTCTCTCCTCTCTCTCTCCTCTCTCTCTCCTCTCTCTCTCCTCTCTCTCTCCTCTCTCTCTCTCTCCTCTCTCTCTCCTCTCTCTCTCTCCTCTCTCTCTCTCTCTCTCTCTCTCTCTCTCTCTCTCTCTCTCTCTCTCTCTCTCTCTCTCTCTCTCTCTCTCTCTCTCCTCTCTCTCTCTCTCTCTCTCCTCTCTCTCTCCTCTCTCTCTCCTCTCTCTCTCCTCTCTCTCTCCTCTCTCTCTCCTCTCTCTCTCCTCTCTCTCTCTCTCTCTCTCCCCTCTCTCTCTCTCTCTCTCTCTCTCTCTCTCTCTCTCTCTCTCTCTCTCTCTCTCTCTCTCTCTCTCTCCTCTCTCTCTCTCTCTCTCTCTCTCTCTCTCTCTCTCTCTCTCTCTCTCTCTCTCTCTCTCTCTCTCTCTCTCTCTCTCTCTCTCTCTCTCTCTCTCTCTCTCTCTCTCTTCTCTCTCTCTCTCTCTCTCTCTCTCTCTCTCTCTCTCTCTCTCTCTCTCTCTCTCTCTCTCTCTCTCTCTCTCTCTCGCGACTTATAATACTCGTTGTAAAAGTGTTCTTCTGCCGACTACGATTTTTTCGCTGCGCGATTATAGTTACAAATAGTGAAGACTTTTTGTCTCAGCGCGCCTTGACACCGTGAATCAGCCCGACGACGTCGGGTTGTCATTACTCGCCGTCGTTTGCCGGCAGATTGTGAGCTTATAAGGCGATACGTCGCGATCCCCGTGAACATTGTTCCCGCTTTGTCGCTCGCCAAGGGCAAGGTGACAGATTTGCGGGAAAAACTGCGGGAATTGGGACGCGAATTGCTACGATGAAGAAAGGAACTATTGCAGCGCGACGCTTTTCCAGAAGGATACAATCCCGAGATCGAGAACAATTTGTCGGGATAAAATTTGGCCGAAATATCGGGAGTGCGCAATTATCCCATCAAATGTTCGACAGCTCGTAATTGTGATGTCCTAATTTGATTCGAAACTCGAATATAAAGTTAATAGAGGGAAATGAGTGTTTACGCACGAAAGTATTAGGAAAATTAAATAAAGGTTTTTTAGTTTTAGAAGTAAGTTTTATTTACTTTTGCATACGGTACTTAGAAAGTTTTAAAAAGTGTATAGATTTAGTCGTTTGTCATTTTTATATTATATCAAAATTGACACATTTGGGTGACATAGTTTGGACGTAATTTTACTCTGTGCATATTTTATTGTTGGAAAACTTGGAAAACACGACTAGCCTCTTAAATCGGACCACTTATTGATTGTTTATATTGTTTTTAATTTGCTCCCAAATTATAGGATTTTCTAGAAAAAGAAGAAAAACTATGAAAAACCTGTGACTATTGTTCTTAAAATCTCTAGGAGATACTACTTTTATTATTTTTATTTATTATTACTTTTATTATTTATTTTAAATTTGTTATTATTCTTTTATTTTTATTATTTGTGTTATTTTTTTTTATTTGTGTTACTTATATTTATTTTTTGGTTTAATCGAAAAACAGATTTTTGTTTAATGGTTGTTTATTTTTTATAATGAAGCTTTTAAAAACGAAAATATCTTATTTCTGTAATTTCAATTTCGCGAATGTAATAGATAAATTCTGCAATTTTATGAACATATATAAAGAGTTAACTTTTATATAAAGTAAACTTCATATAAAAATATAATATAATTTTAATAACTAATTTTAATGGTGGTTTTTATAATTAAAGAATATTTTCTTTAGTTTCTCACACAAGCCGTGATTTTAATTAATTTCTTAGTTAAGTTTCTAAGAACAAAAAAATATTTTATTTTTGTAACTGTCATGTTTATTTTTGTAATCAAAAAATATTCTTTTTAGTTTTTATATAAATGTAGAAGAGTTGTACAAAAACCTCAAAAAATTATAAAATGTCACAGACAGATGAGGAGGCACTCTAATAACTTTATCCTATTTTTATCAAGTATTCGCAAATTGTAAAAAAAATATTGAAAACTGGCCCAATATAGGCAACCCTCCCCTATGTTGCGCAGTGCTCAACGCAGGATCTAAGAAAGTGGCGTTAGACTCAAGGAAGAAAATTATTAGGATCGCGGAGAAAAAAGGAATAAGCGCGGAATCAGACGAACGAACGAACGAGCAAAGGAACGAAAGAAAACTCGCGCGGTTTCCCCGCGAAAATGTCCGGCGCGCGCGTCCGCACCGTGCGTTCTCGTGATACAATCGCGCGTCTCTCGCCGCGCGAAGGAATTAAGTCGTAAAGCTCGCAGCTCGCAACACACGCTCGCGTCAGGTGAGACGCCCTCCTGCGTGAATGCCGCGAGGGACTCATTCGGAACGGGGAAGCGCCGTGTCGTCGGTTCGTTAAACTTTCATGAGGACGCCGGCGCACGCAAGGACAGAGCAGAGACATCGTTGGTTCGGGGGGGGGGGGGGGAGCCGATGGGGAGGAGGAAGAGGATGATGATAATGACGAATGATGATTGGCCGCTCCGCTCGACCGGCAAATTGTCTGCCGACGTTCGCGTCCGCGATCCGCTTCGCGCGAGCGACGAGTTGCGCGCGGCGCGTTTCTGCATCCGCGGAGAGAAATCGCGCCGTTTATCAGTCGCACGCAATCTAATGTCTCTCCCTCTCCCCCGCGCTCTCTGAAGCTGTAAAAACGGAGTTTCTCGCGCGGGAATTATCGCGCTCCCAATTATATCGGCCCCTTGGCGCGTGCCGTTATTGTCGTTACATTTCGAGGCGAAAATTTCTAATTCCCGCGAGAGCGGCCGCGACGGCGATCTTTTAACACGTCGAGCGCCGTGATGGCGGGATGCCGCTGTGTCTCGTAAAATTGTGCGCCTAGAGAAAAGATTGCCGGAATTAACGCGCGACAATGAAGCGAAGCGAGCGGGTCTCGCTCG